AATATAATGATTAATTTTTCATATTCATACTTAATATACTGCCATCTTTGATAGGGGCACTTTCCGAAATTGTTGTTACTGCAACTGAAAATTTAGATATACATGTACATGTATACAAAAGGTAAGACTACCCAGTGGCATAGACACCTGTACAATAGTCATTCCCAGTTTCAAAAACATGTTTGGACTCTATTAAAAGCACGTCTTTGAAATTGGGACTGTTGTACAAAGTCAATCTAAGTTAGAGACTACAACGTATTATGTCTACTCCACTTTTCTATATAACTTTCACACACAACTTCACTCAGCCTCTGTGAAAATCTTTGGGTTCAAAACCTGCCAACCCGGTCAAAATGGGTTAAATAAGGTTCAATTGGGTTACCAAGGGTTAAAGTGGGTTGTAGTAAATAGTGGGTTCAGAGCCCCGGTCCTGTGACTCTGAACCCTCATCTGGTTTACATACTTTTGAAACACACACAAAAACACACACATCACACATAACACACAACACAGGCAAGGCAAACACCAGCCACGTGAGCCCAAAGTACCCTCTGTTGACTGAGCCAGCTGCAGCGGCCCCCAAACAGTCCGCCCCGGCCCCATCCCAGCTTACAGAACACCCGAGCTGTGCGCTAGTGTTGGCGGGGGACGTGAAGTCGCCGAGGTCACAGGTTCGGCTGACCTGGTCCAAAATTGGTCCTGGTCGGCGGGAAAGGCCGCAGAGTCACGGTGGTTCACCTCGTCTGGGAGGTACATGTCATCTCCCCGCTTTAGTAAGAGGATGTAGTCTTCACCGATCTCGACTAAGGCAGGAAAAAGACACAAAATTGATTACAGTATCCTCACATATCTTAAGTATTCACATTTACTGAGGATTGGGCAAAATCAATGTCGATTAACATAATCTTTGAATCTGTAAAATTAAAATTAAAATTAAAAGCAATATTAAAGGCCGTTGGGCATGGTTTGCAAAAATAGTTCATTAAACTTATTTGCGATTGCAAACCATTCTGCTGATAGTGCTGTCTTATTTGGACTACTGCGCCACCGCGTGGCTCCCAAGTCTGGTACAATGTAACAAGGCACAAACTTTACAACTTGACAGGTTGTTAAACAGAGCAGCAAGACTCATCACGGGATACAAGCTTCAAGACCATGTCCCAGTTCATACCTCAGTGCTAGCTGAGGCAGGACTTGAGTCCGTCAGTAAGCGGCTAGAAACGGTTTCTCTGGCTACAGTCTACAAGTCAGTACGCGGGAAAGCGCCACAGTACATGTCAGCACTGTTCAAATGGATGTCACCTCCGTCCTTAAGGGCTAACACACGTTCAGCAGCTAAACGTTTACGGGACTATGACCCCCACCAGCTTCATTGTCCAGCAGCAAGAGTGGCAGCATATCGTGGTAGCCTACAGCACTACGGCGCACAGCTGTGGAACGACCTTCCCATTGAACCGAGAACACTGACAGAGTTCAGGAAATTTAAGCGTCGCTTAACAAAGTTGCGTGATATGTAACGTATCTGGTAGAATAACTGTATACTGTGTAACTGTTGTTATTGTGATTTGTGAATGTATTGCGTTGTTTTTAAAGAACAGGATTGTCTGAAAAACAGGTCAAATGACCTGAGCGCAATTTCCTGTATAAATAAATAAAGTGAAAACATTCCATGTGGCAGCAAATGTACATGGATTAATCATTTCAAATTCATATGTCTACTAGTATGGGTTATTGTATTGTTCTTTATTCATGAGAAGCCCAAGTCGACATGCTGGCCACTTTTATTGGAAAAATTTGATCTTCAATCACACAAGGCGAGACGAGAACGTCAACAAAGATATGATTGACCAAACTACTACTTGTAATTCAGAATCTTTCAACCTCTTTTGATATGTTCTATAATCATATACTAGTACACACCTCTAGTGTCGAGACATGTGTCCGGTCTCCCCATCAAGTCCACAGTGAGGTTGGCTGGCAGCGGGCCGCCCTTGAACACACAGTGAACCTGCAGCACGGCTTGGTAAACACGGGGCCAGTCGGCATACATGCGCAAGTCGGTGCCTGTTGTTGGGAAAAGAACATTCAGGGCTTGTCGATGAAGGTTAGACATCCAGGTAACAAGACACCAAAGCAACTGTCACTCAATTAACCCTAAACAGTACACCTGGGGTCCGCGCGGACCCCAGCACTATATACTATTATGTAATATCTTTTTTGTTTCTAAAGATTTTTTTCTGAAATTTTAGGTAATTGTCACCCACAAAGTTGTCTCTCAATACAGTGCGGAAAACTCCGTTTCTACCATTTATAAAAAAAATTATATCTGTATTTTCTTTTGGGGTCCGCGCGGACCCCAGCCGGCTTTCGATCATAACGGATACACTGGCGTTCTTATACATTACCTTATTTCCGTTTTTATATGTTTTTATGCATTCATCTTATGTCTACCAAGTTTTCAGAGAATGGTGTAGTAATAGAATTAAATTTTAATAACTTTGATGTAATTATGACGTCAGAGCTAATGATATAGTCCGCCATATTGGATTTTGACCAATGACGTCATCAAATTAGCATACTCTATGTATATTAAATGATTTAACTTATATCTAATTATGTAAGATGTTATTAATGTTGGAAAAGAAGTGTAATTTAATATAAAACTCAGAAAATGTTTATGTTTAAATCAAAATTATTTCTATTTTCAAAAAACTGCCTGCTAGAAACCCGTTGCCATGGCAACACAAAAAAACATCAACTTACTAGTATCAAACTAATATGAACTTTTTTCCAGAGACATTTTAGGAAAGGTCTCCAAATTTGATACTTATAGCGCAAGCCGTTTAGCCGCTATCTGAGATCAAAGTTGGGCCACAAAAGCCCCTTCAGTCTGAAATGGGTTTAAAAATCGGGTATTTCTTATTGTCTTCTTTTCTTCACCAAAAAATAGAAAAAGTTCAAAATGTATAATTTTTGTATGTAATGTGGACACAGAGGTTCCCACATCAGTTTGCAAAACAATTGAGCTGGTAGCATGTTGATAATTTCTAAAAATTAGCAAAAAAACTGTTCTGGGGTCCGCGCGGACCCCAGGTGTACGGATTAATCAGTCCGGGAAGGTGTTCTGTTGAGGGTTAAAGTTTCCAACCTTTTTGACAGTTTTCTATATTACAAAGTTTGTGCGGTGCCATGGGCCAGTGGCAGTATGTACATGTACCTATCGTTGGGAAAGTTGGAAAACTACTAGAGCCCTAGGCCCTGAAGAGAGCCCGCCCCAACCACGAAAGACTGGACGCCAGGCTTTTACTAGCCTCTACCAGGCTTCAGGAGGCAGCTGGAAAGAGTAGGCCAAATAGAGATACATGTATGTCATGTATGACATGCTGAGGGAGTTGGTCCGCTAGAAAGTACAGTTTATACTGCTGCACCCGATATAGCCAAGGAGGTTCAAAAAGATTCGAACCTCCTAAGGATGAAGCCAACTACATATACATTCGCCGTGTGTGGCAAAATGTACTTTCAATTTCTACTCTTTCCAGCTGCTTCCCGAAGCCTAGGCTAGGCTAGGCTTTTATAACTACCAACCTTTGAGTTTGTCCACCACCCTGGCGTGTACGGCGATACCAGCTGCCACTACCTGCTGTGGGAACGACATGGGCGGCCGCCACACCCTCGTACAGGACAGGGCGGGGCCCGGAAGTGACGTCATGAGGACGGCCACGCCCAGGCTTAAGGTGACCAGGTACAAAGTCATCTCTAACTGTAGGATAACAAATGTCTTAAGTGGGTTTACGTGATGTACAGTCACTGTGGTATGATTCAACACACATCAACACACAGTCGCACATGCACGCACACACGCATTCTTTGACACACATGCATGTGCACATGTACACACAGTCCCTAAAAGTGAAACACGCACTCACACATACACACACATATGCACACACACGCGCACACGCACACACAATCTCACACACAGACACAGACACACACACACACACACACACACATCACACACACACACCGAGATACACACACACACACACACACACACACACACACACACACACACACACACACAC